TAATTGGCTCCTCGGGTATGCGCGCACGTGCGGGCTTAAGTGGAGAGGAGGCGGGGGCGGGGAGGGAGGGGTCGTTTTACAGCCTGACTAAAGGTAGAATATCCTACCACGGGTAGTGTTTGTGTGCTAGTGTGTGCTTAAAAATCGATTCTCCTGCTGCTGTAGGTGGATGTACGAAGTGCCGTCCAGTAAGAACATCTAAAGGTGGAGGTTTAGCTGCTTCAACTGGTCACACCTAAGCTCCATCAGTGATGCCATCAAAATCAGAGTCCAATCCACACCAGCTCCACCATCATCACTCACATTTCCACACAAAACCTGTTAGACTGAGCAGTGTGCTACCTGTTTACTGTTCGATTACCATAAGACAAGCATGCACGTGTTTTTGAAACTTTGCAGTTCATAGTGATTCTGGTTGATTTGTTTGATGTTTGGCCGTTTTATTTTTATTTTTTTTGAAGAAAACAAGAAATTATGTTGTATATTTTTTTGGTAAATTGAGGTATCGTTCAGTTCATCGTTCATTTTGTTTGTAACAGTGTGTGTCTACTGTTTGGTGTTTGGCCAGCAGTGTTCAGTAACAGTAAAACTGCAGCAAATCAACGAGATGAGCTCACTACAGCTCAGGAAGCTCACGGATTCAGGCAGTAGTTCGCTTGTGGGATAGCAAAAAGCAAGGAAAGCACTCACCTGTAAATCTCCCACACCTTGATAATGACTCTTCATAGATAGATCGATAGATAATGTATTTATCCCCAAGCAGAAATCAAATATCCAGCAGCTCAATTTAAAAACAAACATCTCTCCAGTCATAAATCAACAGATTACCTCCTATCTCCCAAAATGACTCAAAAAATGATGGGTTTATTATTTCACCTATTTAGCTTTGTGCATGGTCTGTGACATCATCTTCAAGCCCTGCAAGGGACTTTAAATGTGGCGTATGGATGATGCAAATCCAAACTAGAAAGGTGGATGTTGGTGGGTTTTGGAGCTATTGTGTGGAAAGGTGTAAATGTACCATTGCTGACACTTTGGAGAACCTGTGGCGTGCGTGTAGTGGTGGTGGTGGGGTTCCCGTTCTCGATTGCTTGGTAATTGTTTTGTTAAAGCAGCGTTTAATAACAGAGTCAGTTTCCATCAGAGTCAGTTACCATGGAGATGAGGGCTTTCCTGCTCTTCCATTCTGTGCGCCTCCTCCCATCACTGCTGTGTGAGATTCAGCTTAGCAAAATTAATGCCGTAAATGATTGCAAGGTGCCTCTTAATACATATTCTTATGTCATTCACACACATGCGGAGCGATGCAGTAAATTTTCAAGGGCATTATTTGTTAATATTAAAGCGAATACGGCTGTTTCTTCAAACACATACGAGCACATCTTTCCACAGACCCCCACTGAGGCTTTTTGTTGTAGCTCTCATCCAGAATCTCACCCACATATATCGAAGGCTTCACTAACAAGAGCGAGGACTCGCTGTGCACCCGAACCAGTGAAACGTGAGGCAAGGCTTTGCTTCAGTCAGCAAAACTGCATGGGAGGAGCAAAGAAGACGGGGCTGTTTAACTGCACGAAACAAAAACAAAAATAGCTTAAATAAGATGATTAATGCAAATATTATTTGGTTAAATACATTATGCAGACATTTCTTGTGGATCAAAGAATAACAAAGGCATGAAGCAGGGACAACAAGCAACCTGTTTCTCAAAATATAGAACTGAAACAGGTGGTTAGTGTTTACCCTCATACATTTGATTGGAAAATCAGAGCTTCCACAGGAGTAAATGTCTTATTGTGGCCAGACTTGGACTCAGTTATCTGAAGAGGATTCCCATGATGACCTAATAAAGGCTCCAGCAAAACCTGAGGTCTTCATTTATTTCCTCACTGACTCTATTACAAAGTCCCTCAAACACTGCAGATACAAAGTGAGCCATGGTTTAGTGCACTGCAAGTCAATTTGCACACACTAATGATATGTTAAAATGTACCATTACCGTAATTGAGGCCATGCAATATAAACAAATAAACTTGCATTCCTATTGCTGGGTGACAGCAACAGAGGCGTGTAACAGGACATGATGTGGTGTAAGAGGAAACATTTTCAAAATGCTGTGATGCAGGAAGTAATACCACAGGGGATTGGCGAGGTGTGTGTCTTGAGTGTTTCTGTGAAAGTGTATGTGAGGAGCGGGGGAGAAAGAGCAGTGGGTTATCACGTGTCAAGCAAATTTTGTAGGGACTATTGAGTCCACAAGATGGCGCATAAATGCAATAATGAGGGTGAAATAACTACATTAGTGTCTGCAACTGTAGTCAGTATTGCACGCTCTCTTTGGGGCTGGAAGTCGTTGTTGTGATTGCTCTCACTGACCCCTGATGGAGATGATTGATATAAGAGTCAAATCAGCAAACTCCTTCAGCAAAACAATCATACGTAAACTAGATTTTATCTAGTTTCATGACAACATGATGCACTGAGGACTTCTCCACTCACCTCATTCATTCCCCACATGATCATACAGCACTGCAGCACGTCTTTCTCCAGAATGCTTCAAGGTTTTATCTTACAGTATAAAGCATTGTCAGTTGACTATTGTTTTGATTTAACACTACATAAATAAACCGAAATTAAACTGGACCTGAATTATCCACAAACATACATTTGTCTGTGTTGTACAGGATTTTATAGAAAACTTTTGCTGGAAAGTTGCTGCATGAATAAATTAATGAATAAGTTCCTCTATAGAACTAGAGTTGGTTTGGGGCATCTAAGCTTCCTAAATGCCTAAGAGAAGAGTTATTTCAGTAATATGCACCTATAACAGTGATATATTTACATATGTAAATTTGTTTTTTCCAGCAGAAAGCAATGAAGGGTGAGTTCAGTTTCCCACTAGTGATGGAGCATCTCCAACAGAAGTATGTGGTGATATTTAAACCTAACAAACAGAATTTTATGCAAATGAAAAGAAATGTGAACAGTACAGTTCACTGCAGTACAATTGGAGAATAAAGGTTTTTGCATAATCTTAATGTAAAAATCCACCACTAAGCAGATACAGGACAACTTTACCACGAAGTAAAACTCTCTACAGGAGCGTTACGCTCTGTCGCAGGTAGAATTGTATTTATTTTTAGGTTTTTAATGAACAGTTATCACCACTAGGGGCTCCAGTGTGTTAGCCTATTGTACTTGTAAAAATACACACAGTGATTTTATGGAAATGATACTTCCATGTCAAACTGCCCCTTATCACATTATACTATTGTCTTGCCGATGCTCCTTTTTTTTTAAAGCAAACCACTGAAAAACTTTTATTGCAAATGAGGAACAAAGCAAATGTTTGCCTTATTTCACTCTGAGATTAGGTCTGGGAAGTTTTTTTTTTTTTATTAAAAAAGAAAAAGCAGCTGCCATAGGACAGAAGCAGGGTGCAGTCTAGACAGGCTGCCAGTCTGTGGCAGGGTTAACACAGAGACACACACAAACATGCACACCTGTGAAATGGTGAAAAACAACAGTCATCACACGCAAGTCACATCTGCACTGAAAAACTATGTGTGTAGGCCATAAATAAAAGGATCAAAAGCAATAAAAATGTACCTCACTTGAGTTCTTTTAAGGACAGGCTTATGGCTACGTTCCAAAACACACTCAGCTATTAAGAGATTTGGCGAAGGGCTGCAGCTATCCGACAGAAAATGCATTAAAATTTGCGCCCCTCACAACTGAGTGAGCTTGGAGACTAATCCACAAGGTCTGTCTTTGCCTGTGGAGATGCCACATGAAGAGCGAACAGGAGCTGCAAGTCGACGCCCAACTCCATCAACCACTGAAACATCCAACAAACAAAATCCCCCCTTGCAGTCTTCAAATTGTTACTTCAAAGCCCCCAACTTCCTCTTCTGTGGTTAAAGTGTTACAGTGTGTGTGTGTGTGTGTGTGTGTAATGTATCAAGGCCAGATTTTTAACACCTACAGTAATGAGGAAACTAATACGAGTTAATCGTGTAACATCAACTTTATAGTAAGTTTCGTTAGTGGTGGAACAGTCTCTATATCGTCATTTTTATTCAACAACACACATTCATTAACATGAGCGTTTAAAAATGTGCAGTTGGTGTCTGTGTACAGCTGGCAGGTCGTTCAATCACAGACACTTCTTGGTAAATTCACTCTAATCAGATGAACTTTCAAAAAAACAAGTCTGGTGTTCAATAAAGATCAAACCTGCAGACAGCTGTGGTTACAGCGGTTGGTGTTTGAGCTCCAGCTGCTCACGGTGAACTATTGTAAACTATTGTTTGCTTCTTGAAATATGTTTTATTAGGCCATTCTTTGCAGTCTGTTAGTGGTAATGTGCGATAATTCACAATCACAGTCACGCACAGGGAAGCTGGCATGCACGTGGACCTAAAACGATGGCTCCTTTTATTTGAAATAACATTGTGTTTATTCAATCGTGAATACATGTAGTTGGTGAGAAACATGCAAATGTGCATTTATCTTCTAATCTGCAGATGTCTGTGGACATGCAGGATACTGAGTGTTGTTTCTTAGAAGAAAAGTTGCTGCTGGAATTCTTAGAAGTTCAGATGTTTTTTGATGTCGTGTTGAGCACTCCTGAACCTGTTCATACAAGATGAATGTTGCAAAACAGCAGAAAACAAGAAAAATACATTTATGTGTAATGAAAAGTGAAAAAAGAGTGCTGTTTGTTTTTCCGTGTTCTAAATTTAAACTTTAATTTGTCCTCTAAGAGAAACAGGATGTAAGAGTCTATGTTCTCCCCCAGAATATGAAGGAAACTATTTACTCTTCCTGACTTTACCCACATCATGTGAGTGACATCCTCCTCACAGTCTGCACCACATGTCCATGAACCCCTTTGAAGTCTTCCGTTACGGGAGGCGCTTATGATACTGAAGCTAGATAAATTGGTGTTGGTGTAAGTTCCTGTCTACAGTTTCCTCCAGGCAGGCACAGAAGCTGTCACTTGTGTAGAAGTGTAGAGTTTAGGCTTTACATCACAGGGGCAGCTGAAAAAAACGCACACACAGAAAGGTCAAAGCCCAAGCGCCGTCGCAAGAGGCCTCCGAGCAGCCTAACGCTTCCATCATGGGTGAAAACACCATCACGAAGCCTCTCGGGCTAGTTTTTATCATCACAGCTCACATGGTGTTCAACGGTAAGCCGTCTCATTTGTAACTGTTTTACTCCGTGACGTGTGAGAGGTTTTGTGTCCTGGCAGCGCATGATGAACTTGACTGTCTGTTACATTTATTGCTCCCTGATTCCTCTGACAGTTAGTTAATGCACTGAATATTTTGTATGTAACTCGTTGTAGTAGGTCTCTAACGACAACTCAGTTTCCCCCACTCAATTACCATTACTGAATCATAATTGGGGAGTTCCACAAAGCTCTGGTTTTGTGACTCAACTTTATTTGTCGGTAACCCTGTTTCCACAAGTGGTTTGTTCTAAGTTTTGCTGCGGTATCTGTTAGAGTTTTATCACAGACGAGCGATATTAAAACAGGGAACTGGGTGTTTCAAAAATGTTGAAAACACTGACACATTCTGGATAAAACACTGTGTGCTTGTGTCTGAGGTGAAAAAGGCATTGCAGCAAATTAAAGTTAGTCTGAGGCATTGTGAATTTAACCCTGGCTCATAATGTGTACGTTCTGATGTTAAACAAATATAGCAATCACACTTTTATGATGCCAAAAACAAGCGATCGTACTAATACCACATGCAAGCCCTCAAATCATTATGGAGACATCCGCAGGTGCTTCACACATGTTTAGAGAAAAAACTTGAAAAATAACTTAACTTAAAATAGATATATAACATAGATACACAGATAGAAAACGCTGATTTGGGCTGATTAATTTGGAAAAAGACAACGCAGTAGCTCCAGTCCCCCCGCCGTTCTGAACTTAATAAACAGAAGAGAATAGAAGGATAGTGTATAATAGAATGTATTTGAACTTTATTTGTTTCCGTTACTGTTTTTAGTAGGTGTCCAAACACCTAGACTCCTGTTTAAATATAAGTACTTGCTATTTAAAGGTTTCTAATCAACAAATCACATAGTTTCTACAGAAGAGAGACTTTCAAACAGAGGAGATGACACATCTAAGAAAAGTTACTTATCTCATTTCTATATGTGAGCTAACACTGAACATTAGACACAGATGGCAGCTAGATAAATCAGGTAAATCAGTCTGAACTTCGCCTTGGTGCTGTTGCTGGTGGCTATATGGCTGTGTAGACTGATCCAGCACTGCTGGCATTTTACTGTGGCGGCTTAGCCTAGTTTAAACACTACCCTGTAGTTTTACTGTCAGTGATGGAAAGTAACTGTGGAACTTGCACTGAGGTAGTGAGCAGAAGGGAAAAGTGACCCGCCTGTTTCCTTTGTGGAGAGGATCAGTCGTCCTGTGCTGCTTCTGTGGCTTTTAGGTTTTTGAGGATTAAACCAACTGATGTCTCTAACACAGAATATGTCACATGGACTATTCTGTTTTCACTACTGCTTTCTTCCAGCTACCCACAGCTTACACTGTATACTGAAGAGCATCAGTTTAAAATACTATAGGATCACAAAGCGGGGTATGATCATGTGTTGATGAGTGGAGACTGATGCATCATTATGGATTTATTAAATTTAAATTGAATAACAGTAAAAGCATTAGAAAGCATTAAAAACATCAAACTAATTTCTCCACTAATCATAAGATAAGATAAGATAGAACTTTATTAGTCCCTCGGGTGGGTTCCTCTGGGAAATTCGGTTTCCAAAAGCACAGCACCGACAGAAGTTACAGTTACAGAATGTTTTTTTATATATATATATATATATATATATATATATATATATATATATATATATACATATATATATATATATATATATATAACATTCGGTTTCCAAAAGCACAGCACCGACAGAAGTTACAGTTGCAGAATGTTATATATATATATATATATATATATATATATATATATATATATATATATATATATATATATATATATACACACACACACACACATATAAATACAGAGACGAATATAAGTAAATTATACGAAGGGGATAAATAGAATAGATAGGAATAAAAATAAAAATACAAGTGAATTGCACATTTCAAGTATTGAGGTCTATTGCACCATTGACAATTTACAAAAGTATTGCACAAAAGTATTGCACAGTGAGGTGAAGAAGCACTACAGCTCAGTGTTTATAATGCAAATCTGCTCTTCTGTCTCCATACAGACCCCAGCCATGCACAAGTCATCGGGATCTTTGGCAGCAACATCACCCTTCAATTTACATTTAATGTTAGCATTAATGAAAACAGTCAAATTGGAATTTATATAACAGGCGAGAAAAAGATTGACGATTTTAAAAGTGGGAAAGGTTCCTTTGTTATTTGCCCCCAAAACAATTCTGTCTTTTACCACATCATAAATCTCACTCTAAACCACACTAACACCTACTGGGCCAGTTTATTTGGGGGCAACCTAAGAAAAAGTAATGAAGTGAAGCTGACTGTTGAAGAAAGGAACATAAGCTGTACAGGTAAGGACATTTGTTATGATTATAAGCTGCACATAATGAAAACGACTTTAACACACAGTAGAGCAATATCAAGAGCAGACTAAAGTGAAGTATGTTTCCATTATATTCATACAAACAGAGCAGCCATATATAGTATACACTAATTCCTCACCACCTTTACTTCCTCAATGTTTGCCTCTTTATTATAGATCCTGTAATAAATGACATCATCATTCCTAATATCTTTTAAAATACTATTCCAAATTAAAATGATCACTTTAATTAATTGTGTCTGCTAGTATTGACTGCATTAAATATAAAAACCATATAGTGTGTATAAGTGTCATGGATCCAAGGTTGTTCTTAACCAGTTAGTGAAAAGTTTAAAGCCCATATGAAAATAAGTCACTAACACACTATTAAAACAGTAGAACAAATTAAATATGATTGTCACAGAGTCCTGCAGGTTATGTTTTTGCCACATTGTTGATAAAGGCTCAGTTAGAACAGAAATATTTAAATAAACAAACAAAAATAGCTCCTCGTTCTCAGATCATATTGCTGGGCATTTAAAGGATAGCTGACATTCAGTCAGTCCCATCTGCTGTAGATACTTACCAGAGCAGTAGGGCAATAATACTGCCTTCCTTTCCTAGCCTGTTTGAATAAAAAGCACTCTGTTGCTTTGACCTAAATGCTAAATACTGATGTCACCATGCTAGCATCTTGCTATCCAGCAGGCGTACATTAACCAGCTTTACAATGTAGGCAATCAAAGCTATCTAGCGTGTCAACATGTTCTAGCGTTAAATATAAATTATGTTTGCAAATATTTGGTCAGAACTGGGCTACTGAGCAAATTTACCTCTCTACCTGACAAGGAAGCCAGCTTGAAAATCAGGCACATCAAAGGGTTTGCAGTGCATTCACGGGGGACACAAACAGCAGTGTCAGTTACATTTATCCTCACAGAATCGCAATTTGCATCATTCGTGGAGCTGCTGAGATGTTTGAGCGTAAAGCAGCTGATATGAGATTGACTGATGTACAGTCCCATTATAGATAAAATAATGAGCCTTTTGTAACCGCTTGGTTACTATTCACATATTCAGTATGTTATTTGTTATTGATTACAGAAAAACTGAATACTGATCACTGTTTCACATTCTCATTGGTTTACAGTGTCAGCTTACAGCCCATAAGAAAGAGTCGAAGTGTGTAATTTTACTGCCTACCATGCTTTATTTCTGTTGCTGATGTATGTTATAAATATGTATTATACTGCATTAGTCTATATGTACTGGGGAAATATGCATAGATCCATTGGGATCTAAACTTATTCAGTATCTTTAATCATTTTTATTTTTTGTTTCATTTCTTTTCATAAACGTGGTGCGAAAATATGAGTGAAGCTCACATATTTTCATGACTTTCTTTTAACTCCTACAGCTCCACCGCCGTCGACTAAACCCACAGTTTTCAATGAAAGTTCCAATTCCCTTTCCATCAATAAGATCATCATCATCTTCGCGGTTTTACCTGTGGTCCTGTTAGCAACAGTACTCCCATGGTTGATCTGTAGTCTCGTGAGACCCAAAGGTAAGCAAATATACGGTCCAAAAACAATCTTTACCTTCACTTTTCACTGATATGTTGTGTTGTTTCTGTTATCAGAGTGTGGCCAAAACTTTTATTATTTTTTGGAGACGTAGGATTTTATTTCATTTCCATGCTGTAGTCTGAACGTAGTGTCAGCTGAGTTGGAATAAAACACATCAGGAACCTTTAATTCAATATTCTCCACATATAAATAGTAAAGGGGTATGAAGCCAAATTGCGTGTGCGGGGCTGCAGTCAGTAGTATTTTCTAGTTTTTCAAGCAAACAAAGTAATGGTAAGGAAACACTTGTTATTCTGTGGAAAAAATTTGCAGTTGTGTGGTTAGATGCTCAAAAATGCAAACCAGATTGCAGTTTCACATCCTTCTGATAGATGCGATGATTCATCTCTTTTGAAAATAAGTCCTCCTTCAGTGCATGTAAATCTAATTGTGCCTACTATCACTGAGAGATGGGTGGAAAGAAAGAGCTTGCATTATTTGTTCACTAATACGAGTGCGCTTTCACTTCAAAGACAAACCCCTCTGGCCTACTTTGAGTAGGAACGCTGCCACGCTGAAATAATCTGACAGCCCCCGTGACCTCAGAAACCGCACTAGAAGAGTTCCCGTACATGTATACAAATGCAAGCAATTGCTGACTGCGCACTCCTGCATCGTGCCGTGCTAATTGGGCCCGGCCGCTGTCCACGAGTAGAGGTTTTGCACAAAACCGACAGATGCTGAAGAGAAACTGCTCTCTGTCTTTGGCAACTTGTCCTGGTGCATTTGCACCGCTAGAGGATAAAGACAACGTGACTTGTTCGGCATAAACTTACAAAAAGCTTAGACCTAAAACTATATTATAAAAGTCAGGCTTGACTAAAACATTTAGTCACAAACTTTAGTTAAACTAAAACAAAATTAAAACATTTTACTTTAGCACAGCTTATTATAATCATTATTCGTTGAAAAAATATTGTTAAGCATGAATATTTTCGTTGTCCATAATTTTGGCTTGCTATCACTTAATCTGAACGCTAATTTGTTTAATTAATGGTATTCATGTAAGAATATCGATAGCTTTTTTTATATCTTTTTCCAGAGGCGGGATCAGGAGGTGATGCTAAGCCTAGCTTAGCATTAAGTAAGTAAAAAGCAATCGTAACTCTGTGTAAAGGTAACAAAATGCTGATATTAGCGTGAAAAAAGCTCAGGAATAAACATGCAATCTCATCATTGAGCTCAGTAACTGAACATTAACATTATCATTGCAATGATAATGTTTAGTTTGTGTTTAGTCTAAACCGGCAAAGCGAAACCCGGTCTCCTGCGCAACAGCACAAACACTCTATGTGGTTACGACGTATTTGACGTGGATTCGTGCTTTTGATGTATTTGACGGTTAATTGCTTTATTTTTATGAACGTCTAACGTTTTTTTTCCTTATCTGATGAATCAGAAACTTATCTTGGATGTTATTTCCTTTATACTCCTGGGTGCTGTGGCATACTCCTACTCCCTACTTCCTATGAGCTAAAAAATTCCAAAACATGCGGCATTTATGTCTTTAATATTGAGATTTGACTATTTTCACACTTTTTTAAAAGTATGACAATGGAAAATATGTAAATCGGGGATAAACTGACGTGGTTGATGGGCTGTAACAATAAATTTGATAAGAAATTTTTTATTCGAACGTCCCACGAATGCTTCTTCTGCAAAACTCAAAATATAGTATACATGACCGATTTCACCTATTTTGTAACATTTCACCTGCTTTTCTTCTCATGCAGACAAACAACAGCAACAACAAGAAAGGCCGCAAAGCGCCACTCCCACAGTGCAGGTAAGAAAGATTTTGATCTGCTGTTAGAGAAAAAAATAAGCCTGGAAATTCTTCAGCCTGACTCGAGTTGCCTTCGCAGGAATCAGTGGCGTCGTTGAGCAGCGTGTCTGCACCCTCGGTGATCTACAGCGTCTTGGACTTCCCCAAAAGACCTCCGACAATTGTTGAGATCAACCCAAGAGATACAGAGTATGCTGCCGTCAGCTATCTCACAGAAAAGAGACACATGTGATGCACAGCTCACTGTTCAACTAGTGTACATAACATAAATCTAAATATATATAAATATAAATTTCTTGCAAGTGTTAAAAATCCTGCTTTTGTTATACAGGGATGTCTTATTGCACTATATCTCAAACAAAAGAGTTGGGAGAGGAAGAGTCTGCATGGGTAGTGTGTATGTAGGTGTCACTTTGTGTTTGGTGGTCTCGAAATTGAGATGCATGCTGCTGCGGCAAACCTCAAGCCAGAACATAATACAGTTACAGTGACAACCCAGCCTCGCAGTTAGCTTTCAATTTTTCTTTGCTGTTAATTTGTGTCGGGGGTATCCGGCCGCTAAGGAATACTTAACAGGCGATAAATTAGATTTTAGATTTTCTTCAGACCAGAAACACAAAGCAAGCACTTCCTGTGTACCCAGAGTCTACTGTACATCACTGCTCTGGGTCTCACTGTGTTTAATAGCTTCAGTGAACCACACTGATGCACTAGGTGATAACACAGGAGATGTAGTGACCCCTACAAACTTTGCTCCCTCTGTAGAGCACCAAATTTAGGTTGTTCTACCACTGAAATAGCCTCACTTCTGTTGACTAAAAACTACACTGAACAATTCTGATGCTTTTAATATTTAAAAATCTTTAAAAACCTGCCAACTAAGCACATGAATTTAGAGACAGCTTTGGAAATGTGGATATCCAAACCTGTTTGAACGGGATATGTTACCAAAACTCTGCAGCTGACACTGTCTTAAGTTATAAAAGTATCCCAAATGACAGAAATAACTAAAGCACGGTATCCTTTGTTAGTTCCTGTAAAACAGGGATGCCAAATTAATTTTACATCATGGGCCACAGACAGCCCACCAGTGAAACTACATGATAAATATGTAGACTAGAATCAATTACTAATATCTACACTTAATCACTCTGGTGTGGTATGAATGTCAGTTCCTATTTATCAGTTGGAAAAGCTACAAAACTCACACTTTGTAGTTTTGTAGCTTTTCAGTTAAAACTACAAAATCTTCCAAAGCTGTCCTGTGGGCCATATTGGAGTCTTTCCTAGGCCAAATCTGGACCCCAGACCTTATATTTGATGCCCCTGCTATAGAACCATAAATGACCTTGTAAGTGGAAAAATAGGAGTGTTTCCACTTTAAACAAATGCCTAAATCCACATGTGGCTGTGATTACACCTCCGAGTTCACTTGGAGTCTGGTTGAAGGAAGCGCGTGCTGGCACGTGCCGTTGGTGTCACTGTATTGTAGTGGCTCATGAGAATCCCAGCACTTACTTGCACACTCTTGTAGATGCAGAACATATAATAAAGGTGTTATGCAGCAAGAAAATAATGCAAAACTTTCACTCACTGTTTCTATAATTTAAGAACCAAAACCACTTGGTTAGTGTGATGAAGAGTGTGACACATGCCAGTAAGCTCAAATTTCTAAATTACCAAGTTGATAATTTCAGATGCAATTTGCACAATCAAACAGCTGCTAGAGGTCAGTTTTAAAATGGGTCCCAATAAGTGGCTGCACACAGAAACTAGGGGCTTTTATTTTGTTTGAGTGGAAAGTTTTGACTGAGAATGCATCATCATGCAATCCCAGGCTGAAAGGTTTTACACTTTGATGACATTTCCAACATGAAAACCTTTCATTTTCCGCTTCACCTCATCTCCAGAATTCATCTTCACTCCCATGCTGATAATCGCGTGAGAGCTTAACAAGCTCACTTTTGACTTTCAGGTTTAGTGACTTCTTTTGCATCGGGGTATTTATCACAACACGGAGGAAAAAGTTTCAGGGACACCGTCCATACATGCTTATAGATCAGTTATAGACCTTTCAGCTTATCAGTACTGCATATTCAAAGGTCACTGGTGATTTTTCCATGAGCTGCTGCATCAGCTCGCCACTATCATGCAAATCTGACAACAACAATCTGACACTATGTGCAATAACTGCATGCATGGCCTCTGAAGTTCTCTTTTTGAAAGCTTATTGATGTCTTTGATTTACTCAGTTCTCATACATCTTTATCATCTGTTAAAATGTATTCTCTGGTTTATTGTTCACCAGCTACTCAGAGAAAGAGCAAGTTCATTTTGAAACCCAGCAAGCTTTCAAAATGTACCGTCCTGTCACGTGCTACTTTATTACATACTGCTGAACTGTTTCTAATTGAAATACGCAGTTTTTAAGATGTAAATGGATGTAAAATTATCAACTTTATTGTGTGTGTGTATGTGTGTGTAAATACTGTCTTCAGTTCCTGAATGTACTACTGGATCTGTGTCACAGAAGGAACAGAAACTGCTCTTTATTTTGATGGCAGCGGTGCATGCTGGGAGATGTGTAAAATAAGTCTTCAGAGTGTTGTTTTGTTTTTAAAAAATCTAATATTTCTGAATTCTTATCCTGTAAAAACACCTCTAAAATAAAATAAAAAGTTTACCTGAGATTCTGGTTTTCTTTATGGTTTTAGTAACTAAAGTTGACGCTCACCACACACAGTTGTGTATTCAAAGAATGCACTGTTTTATCTTCTAGTCTGTGTTACAGTAGGTCGTGGAGTCTTTGGCATGTAAAAATAAGCAGTATTTTAGCACGTTGCAGGGACTTACCCAAGTAAATCACCTATAACGCCAACTTTATTTTTCTGTCAAGACCACGTAATAAAGCGTGATCTTAGGTTATACACAGACGTGGATGCTTTTTCACCTTAGAATAAACTGAAACCTACACCGAAACATTGCAAAGTGTCTTTTAGTGTGCTAAAAGACTTTCGTTTTTAGTGATGCCCCAAACAGGCGTACGGCATCAGCCCTGCAAGGCTTTTGCTACCTGTATTGGCTGATTGGAGTAGGAGGCTGAATGGAAACCACTCAAATGACTGATGAGACAAAAATAAATTCTTTTGGTAGAACCTGAAGCGCTGCGTCTGGTAAACACCCTTCTGCTTAACCCCGAGATGACTGAGATGAAATATTATCTTGACAGCATCACGCTGTTCACACTTCTCATCAGCAGGGACAGTGAGACTGGTTAGAGCACACAAGGAAATGAAAGCAGCAAAATACAGAGAGGTGTTTGAAGAAAAGCAGAGCGACGCGCAGGTCTGGAGCAGCGTGTCTTAGGTTGCATATTCGACTCATACAGATTGTTCCGAAGCCAAGGGACCCTGATGGCAAATCCACAGACATATTTGAATTTAAGCCTCATTCTTTGGAAACCCAGAAGGGCCCCAGCTGAAAATCTAAGGCTTTGAAGTGACATATGGGAGTCTGCATTTCTGATAACGCAGCACAGTGCAGTCTCATATGAACAAGTATAATGAAATCATACAAATCAATCATAAGAAGATCTTAAAATAAATTCTAAAAGATGAGCGAAGCGCAGTCAATAGAGGTGATGTGATGCCATCTGCTGAAACCAGTATGTGACCATCAACCATCAGTATGTGACTGAACTGCAGACTTTATCTTTTATTTGAGATATTAAGCATCACGCCCCCCACCCTCAATGATCGCCTGAAGTCTGGAGCCCATGGATATCACCAGTTGCTTTGTTTCCTCCTCTTTGATGCTCTGGCAGGCCTTTCCTGCAGCCGCCTTCACTTAGTGCTTATTTGTGTATTTATTAACTGATAAGCAGCTCTCTTGGGTTCCGGTTAGGTGGTTGATTTGACTTTTTCATCGCCTTGAGAAACCTTTGGGTTGCTTTTGCAGTTTGCAGTGCTTTGGGTCTTTATCCATCTGCACTGTTTGCGGCATTTGTGAATGTGAGCATTGAGTACTCCTTCACCTGCATCAGCATCTCTTTTGACCTCAGAATAATGAGAGTTCAAGCAAACAGCTACCAAATACAAGTTCCACTGCAGATGTGGAATAACTGTCAGTCTGTGGTAGTGAATCTCTGAAGTCGGTGTGCTGTATATAAAAGAAAAGTTGTCTTATTGTCCAGATCCTTGTGGACCTAACTGTAAACATGCAGTTTCAAATGATAAATTTCAGGTTTTGGTTATAATACATTTTGCAAAAGTGCATCAGTTAAAGTTAACTCTACAACAAAAATATTTTGCACACTGTCAATCTAAAATCCAGATGAAGTAACAAGCACATCTAAAGTTTGATCAAAAGGAGAACACTTGGTCTATCCGGTGGTACAGCCACAATAACTGAGCTCAGTGTGTTTGGAGTAAACACTTAAGCTGATCATTCGGTGAGTGAGTTTCTGCCTCCCACGTGCTTGAGGTAAAGGCTTCATTGTTTTCTGTTTGTGTGCATGTTTGCTGCTGCACTCAAGCAGTGGCCTGAGCAAATAATGTGTCTGCACTTTGCACTTCTTAACACCCACCTCTACTGTATCGAGGTTTCTCATAAAAAAAACAACAACCCGACATTGCATTTTCACAAGTGAGACATTGCATTTTCTAACCCAGTGCATCAAGAATGCAGAAAGTGCAACCTTTGATTTAAACTTGTGTGTCATCATTTTGATATAACTGACAGACAGATAGATAGATAGATAGATAGATAGATAGATAGATAGATAGATAGATAGATAGATAGATAGATAGATAGATAGATAGATAGATAGATAGAAAGTGCATTACAAAAAATATGTACACTATAAATGTAAGAAAAACAACTGCATGATGGTATAATACAAAAATAAGGGGTCTTTTGTGTGCCTGACACTGAATGAAGAGTCATTTTTCAGTTTTAGAGAGGACAGTAGGAATGATTTCCTGAAGTGTTCTTGTCTCAGTTACTCATTTGACACTGAGACTCATCTGAATCCTGCCAAAGACAGCAGGGTCAGAATTTGGGGTTAAACAGCATGAAACGTGGCTGCATCCCTGCTGGTTCAGACTAGTGGTGGTGGTGCAGTGGGGTGGGGATATTTTCTCAGCACAAACCAGCTTGTTACTAATTTTGCCCATACCTTTTTCAACATTGTACCAAACATTTGATGGCTACTTCCAGTAGGATAATGTGCCATGTCATTAAGTAAAAATCAACTGCTGAACATCACAGTGATTT